CCACTATAGATTTGTAGTACAATCGACTTACTGATCACGTGCCAAATTCTATTCTACGAAGTTACTTTAAAAAGTTTAAAATCTTTTACGGATTGTGAAATACTGAATCAAAATTAAAAAATCTAATTATGTAGGTCTATTACAGACTCTTATGATATGTTAAAACCTACCTTATATAACACACAAAATACGATCGAATCATTGGACGGGTCCCTATTTTGAAGTCGGCCAACAACTCATCGCGAAACATATTTAACATACAAGTTTTATTCGCAGAGTTACTATGTAACTGCGAATAAAGATTTGTATCAAATAGTTAACTTGATGTTAGTTGATGGTTCCTTGTATCGATACACGAAGACGTTTATGAGAGTTCCAAAGTGTTTAGTAGTTTATACAACATCGTAATCGTCAGTTTGGTCGTAAAAACGTTGTTAGCTTTCTTTAGTAACAAACCTTTCATCATGTAATAATGATAATAGTTTTATGTATTGACTAACTAAAGCCCCATTGTATCTGTGCGTCGTGGTATTCGCAATAAAAATAGTTTATAACAACTATTAGATAAATACAAATTGCAGTGTTTGGAACGTCGACGAAGCTTAATAGGGTCATAGACCCTGTATAAATTTTGTGCAAATGCGATTGTACCGATTTTGAGACTAATAAGCACAGCTTGTGCTACCTAGTGCCTACTAGCGAGCACCGTTCAATGAGGGTACGTGTCTATTCTTTACCCCGATCTATGGGAAGTACCCCAATGCACGAGCGCCACTTCACCATATTGTTGATGTATTTAACACCAAATTTTCCTGATATAGTTATATTTTTTAGTCATACTTTAAATTTAAGAAAACCCTATTAGACGTAGTAGTTAGAAACCAGTAAATATTAATGTATATATATAATAATAAGAGTAACATAACACAAGTATTAATCCGTAAATATCTGCATTGGTTTTTATTATTTTATTTACTATTTATGTACTTAAGTACTTACTACGTTGTAAAACTGTTTGTAACCAAAATAAAATAAAAATAACAGGCAGTAAATATTAAGCACTATAAGCAACAAATCGATGAAACTATTTCTGACATTAGCGCGTATAAACGCACTGAAAAACGAATAGAAATTCTATCATTAATTTGGGTTTATAAACGCTATCTAATAATATTTTCTCTCGTTTATGTACAGACTATCTATTATATTATATTAAAAAGTTACTTATCGCTCAGCTAGAGCGATAAGTAACTTTTAAATATATGCATAGGTATAGATAGGATAATATTGTATTGTACAATAAACAATTATTTAGAACAATTTATTTTGGTTCCCTGAAGGATTATTTTGTTTGAATTTTAATTAGCTTTTCCCAGTACGTTATCACGCACTAAATCATGTATTAGTAGTAAGGGGTATATTGACCCGAAATATAATTTATGATAAAATTGATTTTTTTATATATAATACAACATAGCAAATACTCTACCATCGTTTTTTAGATAAATTGTATTGGCTGTCGCAGCTTTTTTTAACAGATGATTCAGTCAGAACTTAAGGTGACTGACACTTATTTAAATTTATAGAAAATATTTTAATACTCTATTAATTTTAATAAGTGTTTATTCGTTTGAATATCTAGATTATATTCTTCTTCTTTCTTCTATATTATATTAATTTATTTTCATTTTCTAATAATTTTATAAATTTTAATAGCTATTCTTTTGTTTAAAACTTATCAATATCGTAATAAAATAGTAATAACAAAAGAAAAACAGTGCAAAGTTTTATTAACTGTTCAATTACATTTTAATATCTCTGCCAACACTTTAGTATGCTAGCAGCTTTGTCTTATTTATTTCAGCTACCATGTAACTTGCTTTGTAAAGTGTGTTTCGGTTAGAGTTTGAGATTAGTCAGAGAAATTACAGGATATTTAGGGTAGTGGTATCACGGGCGTCAAATAATAATGTGATGTCCGTGGGTCCGTGTCTTATATACCTTATAAGTAATGGTTACCACTTTCCATCAGGTGCACCGTCAACGTACCATTCCAGTTATATAAAAAAAAATATTTATATATTTTTTTACTGCCATCTTAACTTTGTATGCATGTGAAAACCTTTTTATGACATGTCGCACATTTTACAGTTACGCCAACCCTTTTTGAGAGCCTTAATTCATCAAACAGATGTAGGGTCTATGCAAGTACCTCAAACACATTTACTCAAGCCTCCATCAGTTTTGTGACTAATGTGGGCGGACTACTATCATAAATATAGCTTAGAGTTGACCGGGAGATTAGTTGGTTAAATGTTTTAGACATTACGTCTAAAACACACGAATAGAAACTATTTTAATTGAGATAACTAGCACATATATTTTATACGTTCTGGACGCTAACATTTAGAAAAGATTTATGTCATATGTAATATTATATACATGATAGCTGATAAAATGTAATTAAATTATAAAGATTTTTTTTGTTGAATGAATAAATCTCGGAAAATATTTTTTTCGAATTAAAAGATTATTTTAGTGTTAGACAGCACATTTCGAGATAGTCTGTGTATATAATATTACGTTAGGACCAACAGGAGCTGACCATCAATGAAATGTTTACTTTCTCTCTAATGTGACGCAGTCAGTAAATAATAAATAAGTACACATTATTATAATATATAACTAATAATGTTTAAAGGAGTAGAAGTATAATTATAAAGGCTTTTTATAATTATATCGAGTAATAAAATTATTTTTAATATGAAAAATTCATGGAGAAATTCCCCAAATAACAATTACTTATACCAGGCGGCTGTTAGACATCTTAATTTTAATATCACCTAAAATTCGCTATATAATTAATATACCTGAAATAAGGAAGGATATAGCTTGATCTAGAAGTACAATACTAGACTAACACGGAAGGAGGGTCATCTTTTTATAGTAAAGACCCTTGTCCTGATCGTGTAAATATTTAATTTCTATATTATGAGAACTCTTGTAGGTCTATTATTAGATATCTATATATTTCAGTCGATTTCACTGAATTAAGCTTTCGTTCGTGACAATATTGAAATGTGAAATTATTTCTATGAATAAATTATTCCATAAATAATTTCAAATAACATGATATATTTTGTATATTTCTGAATGTTGCTTTAACAGAGACTGTTGACTCAAATTAGCTAAAATTTTATTTGTATTTATTTATAATGATCGACACCAGTTAAATTAATACATATCTCCATATGAGATATTTATGGTATAAACATATTATTACTTAAATGTAAACACATCATGCAAAGTAATTACAAACGTTATACAGTAATTTTATATAAACAGTTTTTTTAAATGCTTTCAAATGCAAAAGAGCAAATTATGTGTTCGTGAATGATCATTGTCCAAACTATGCCTAACCGTAATTATTATATTATTAAAATAATAATTATAATTTGCTAATTTTCTTCAACAACAACTAGCGATAAGAGTTTTATCTGGAGTAAATAATCATTCCTTAAAAAAGCTTCAAAATCAAAATAAAAACTATTATGAGATTGTCAGATGATCATTATATAATCTCCAAATAATTTATACTATAAGGATATATGTATTAAGTAAATATTATATAAGTATTGATAATAACAATAAACCAATATGTATTCACTTAAATGTCTTGCCTATCATTCTGATGAGTATCACCCATATCCTTTTTGTAAAAATTATCTAACTTAAAATTCATAGCGCTGACAATGTTATATGATTGAACAGAGATTAAGTGCGTAGCGGTTTCTATGTTGATTGTCGCATGCCTAATCCTTGTGAATTAAATATTAGTAAATCAATATTTATTTAAAAGAACAACACACAAGTTTCTTGCTTATTCTTCTTGTGATGAATCTGCATTCCGAATAAGCGGTAGAATAAAAAAATTTGACTATTCAAAAGTGCTTATATTAAGTTTATTTGAATAAAGATTATTTCTATTTCTACTTTTTATAGTAACTATATACGTTAGGTATACAGGTAACAGGTATTGTAGTCAAACTATTGTACTGAAACTGGTGATTTATACGCAAAGTTACATTTTTCCAGACCTATCGGTTTAGCCTGTGCGTTGGCTCTCAATGTAATATATATAGAATAGAATCATATCAAGTAGACCTCGATAAAATAAAAGCTTTCTTGCCGACATTGGAAATCATTTGTTTCCAGATAGTTGATATCAATCATTATGATAGATTCCCCAAGCTTTGAACGTCTCAACTTGTGGTTCTCTTCGATAGTTTCAGTTCTTTCGGAACTATTAAACTTTTTGATTTAAACGTTATCTTTAATGCAGTAGAGACGGAAATAGATTGATTGTATAACACAAGGAAGATTCCATTTTTGTTACGTAGAGTGACTACGTTTATTGGTTTTATATCACTGTTCGTACCTAGAATCTGATAGATTTCTATTTTAGTCGTATTCCTCCTCTGAGACGAGCTCTCTAGACTGTTCGTTACTTTCTTCTATCAAGAGAGACAGGACTTCCTTTTCGAGATCTTTTCACGAAAAATTTAAACAAGGGAAGGCAATTGTATGTAAAGTCATTTCATTTAAAATCATATCAAACCGCTAGACGACCTCGGTGGTATAGCGGTTTAGCACACCGCTTTATGGTCGCGGGTTTGATTCCTCGCACGGTACAAACATTTGTATGAGTATGATTGTGTATATCGGTTTGGGTGTTTTCTATATATATGTCAGATGTCTAGTAAACACAAAACAAGCTCTGCATAGCTTGGGACTAGTGTGTGAGTTGTCCTGAAATACAACTGAAATGCTGACTTAACAAATATTGTTTTCCATATACATAAATGATTTGTAAGTTTTATCTAGGGGTATAACAATGTACCTACCATTACACAGATGGGAGTAAACACTCAGAAGGAGTTGGAGCAGCTGTCGTCGTCCGCTCACCTGGTACAAATGTTACTCAAGTTAAGAAGTACAAAATGCATAGGTCATGCTCAATATTTCAAGCTGAACTGCTGGCAATTGGGGAGGCTTGCCGAATGATACTAGCCATGAAACATGAATTAGCCTACATCCTGACAGACAGTAAGTCGTCTCTAATGGAACTGAGTAACCCCGCTAGCTGCAACAGCTTAGTAAATAAGATCTTCAAACACCTACGTGTGGCCGAAGTAATGAAAGTCAAAATTGTGTTCGTATGGCTCAGGGCGCACGTAGGGATACGGGGAAACGAGGATGCCGACTGTGCGGCAAAGCAAGCAGCGTCTTCCAAAACATCCCTAGCGTATGACAAGTTCCCAATTAGCTATGTAAAACAACATTTCAAAACTACTAGCACAGAAGATAAAATAAACCTCTACAATAACGAAAACAATTGTAAATACACTAAGCAAATAAGTCCTTATCATGAACAGTTGGAGCTTGTCATGCGTGCATTCCCTCCAGATTTTCATCTTACGCAATTCTACTCAGGTCATGGTTACCATAAGGTATACCTCAAACGCTTTGGAATCACTGCAGACGACGAATGCCCATGTGATGCTAACATATCGCAAACCATGGAGCATTTGATCCGCGTGTGTCCGAGGTTCTCTTCCACCAGAATGGATCACGAGATAGCTAACCGGATGGTCGGAATCTCTGAGCCATACGATTTCCAAAAAATTATCAAAAAAGAAACAACTATAAATACCTTCTCAGAGCACATAAAATATATCATACGTAATCTTAAACAATACAATCAAACGTAACATGTAATTATCTTGTAAAAGTATCAAAAAATGTATATATACTATATATAAAAATAAACTGTAAATTAAAACTGTATATAACAATAAAAAAAAAAGGATACATACCGGCAATCACGATTATTTCAGTAATTCATAATCACACAAAAAAAAAACCTTAAAAAATTAAAAATTAAAAAATAGCAAAATAAAAAAAAAAAAATTAAAATGGATACATACCAAGAACCGCAATTTCATCAGTGTAAATAATCCATCTCCTAATATATAATCATCTAAAAAATAACAACATCCCAAATCCAATCACTCGTCTTAAAATCAAACATTTCACATACTCTGCTAAAGCGAGCGTAACCCGAAAGCGCAAACGCAGAAGCTAAGAGTTAAAAAAATATGCTCAAACAAAAAAAAAAACAATGTACCTACCGCTATATACAGACAGAAGGCGTTTCTGAAAAGTTTGATGACAAATATTCTAACACCACATTTTTATATAATATATATATATTTATACAATACATAGATAAAATATACATAAATAAGTAATTTAATATTATCTGTAAACTAGATATTCCGCAGCCGGTACTATATCAAGTAGATTATAGAAACACAAACACAAATCCAGACTGTAATTAAATTTCTGTTAACAGTAACGGCTTCATAAGCCTCAATTTATAAAAGTTGGGTGAAACACTTCGAAACTCAGAACGAAATCATCTCCGGGATTTCATCTAATCACGTAGCCTCGGAACTAAGGCTAAACGATCAAGTGCAGTTATATATCAACTCTGTGCCCACAGATTTTCACGTAATAACAATCTTGCTCTTGGGCATTATAAATGTAGCTACACATAATCAAATATTATCCTGATTATAATTTTTATATTAAGTACATAATTATAATAATAGCAAGACTTATTTATTTCGGATTTACGGTTTTTATTTATTTCTTTATTACAAAAATGTATATATATTAGTTATACTACCTACGTTAGTTTAAACGACGGAGATAAAAACATGGACACAGAAATATAAGATAAAATAAATTAATACCGGCCAGTGTAAATGTTTTTTTTTTATTTCTATATTTATAAACGTAACAATATGAAATTTTCTGCCCATTTTCTTTCTACTGTGACTTAATTTTATTTTTGTGTTAAAGACGTCACTTCACAAGATATATCTAATTTTCTAAAAAGTCATGTGAATGTCTAAGTCTCATATCTATTTCAGCTGCGGACGTGTATTTCTGTAGGAGGGTGAGATAAGGTAGTGAAATTAGAAGATAAGAAAAAAACATATTAAGTGTTAAATTTACGACGACGTCGACAATTGACATTGTCTTGACTACCCATCCAGAACAACAGTCGTGATTATAAATAATCTCAGAACACACATAGCGCCATCTAGACCCAACTTAAGCTAGCTAAAGCTTATGTTATGGATACTAGATAACTGATACAAATACATAGACATCTTTTTTTCGTAAATATACATTATACATACAAATCACCCAGATCGCTACAAGCATTCATACTCATGAATACGAAATGTTTGTACCGTACGAGGAATCGAACCTGCGATCATCGGAAGTAAGGCGGTGTGTTAAACCGCTGGACCACTGAGGCCATGATGATATTTAATTATTATTATTATAAATTTTCTTTATAGAACTTGAGATAAGTCTGCGATGTGTGTATACGTGCAGATGAAATTCTGTAATACGATGAGACGATTCACCACAAGATACATACACCCCAACCGCTCTATTTGATTGCTTATTATACATATTACTAATGGATATTAGGCAGAGTCAGGTAGTGGGGTTCCCATATTAGATTATTTGCGGTTTTTGTATAATATTGTAATATTTGGTTATAGTCGTAATGAAGCCAATCATTATCATTCCCACCCACCCATCGAAGCCACTCAAATCTGGGTAAACAAGAGGCAATGCATAAGGATGCATGTATGGAGCCAATTCTATAAATTTTATGAAGACGGAAATAGTATTACTTAATTACAAATATCTTAGGTAATTTATATACAATATTCTTATAGTAGGTATTACTTATTTAATAAAATAATAAAAATCTAAACTTACTATTTTTATTTATAACCAGCATTTACGAAATATTATTTAAAAACGAATTTACGCTTTACATGTATCTAATTAGTAATCTGCAGTATAACCTGTAGTAGATACCTATGGAAGTTATAAATACGTAGGTGCGTAACAAAAATAATAATTTATTTTTACTTAGCTTCTTTATTCTCTCATTCTGAGATATATTTTACCTACCCTGTTAGAATTCTGGTCGTTCATCGAATCCTTCTTGATATTCAGACGTGATTATGCATTAAATATAATCTGTGGATGCCGGTGGATGCTGTATGTGTACGGAATGGAAGGAATTTTTGGTTAGCTCTCATTTACAAGAGCATTTATTCGTTTGATATCGTTATTACATAAGAATAAAGTAGGATTTTTACATATTTGTGGAGATATTTATGGGATATGCTTTTTATATAGATCTCATTTTTATCTTTCTTAAGATATTTTTTACTTAGTATGTCTGCATTAACAAATATTAATTTTATTACTTTAAAAAAGTAATGATTATTAATTTTCTGATGATAATAAAACGACATGATATATAAATGTAACTATTAGTTGTAACGCAACGCCTTATTTTCAATGGTCGCTGGTTTGATTCATTCGGGTTGCGTTATGAAAACATTTATATTAATGAGTGTGATTGCTTGTATTTGTCTAGGCGCTTTCTGTTTCATGTATGTGTTTACAAAAAGTATTTAAGTATTTCTGTCAGTTCTCTAATACCTATAAAATAAGCTCTGCTTAGCTTGGGATTAAATAGCGCTGTGTGAATTGACTAGAATTATTATTATTAATACACATTATTAAGGAAGTTTTAGCAGAATCTTTTATGGTTTAAATGCACTAAATACATTATTGTATTGACAAACCATCAACTTAAGATCAACGTTTATAATTTTAATAGGTATAAATATTATTACAATAGTAATAATAATACTGTATTTATCATTATTCCAGATGGGGTAACTAAATCATGTATTGGTTTTATTTAATTTTCTGCTGGTAACAGATTTAATAAATACTTATAATAATTCTGCAATGATTCTGATGATACTTTTTTTAAGCATATAGCAATCCTCCTTTGATATCATAGCACCGTCTCAATTTAAATAGACTTGTTTTAGAAACATATTCAAGGTTCTATACTGACAACTGAATAGAATTATCCACATCCCATTGAATAGTAAAAGTGTGTAACCAAATATCGTAAAAATATGTGAGACGATCTACATTACCGGTACTGAATACATAAATCACCATTTACCTAACCTCAAACGACATGGAGGATAAAATTGGGTTTTAGATATAGTCAGTAGAAAATGGAGCAAGAATATGGAAATATTTATGAAACAAATATATTTATATTCTAAAAAGAAACTTTAATCCTGAGAAAATAAGTCATGAACATGGAAGTTGACTTTAAAAATTATATCGTTTATTTTAGTCAGCTCAGTACTACAACTAGTATAACTTAGATGAAAAGTAGAGAGACGTATAAAATTATTCGTAGTAAGACCCGATTAACTTAATAAAATCGGTTCAGTGTTTGCACCTATATAGAGTAACAGGTATATTCTTAAAAGTATTATACGCAAATGGTCCTCCTTGGCTTTGCGTACTCATAATTTTGTGGATTTCATATAAATTGGCAAATATAATGTACTGGAAGAATAAACAGTTAAATTCTCTTAATAAAATCTGTGTTCCCTTTTTTATTGTCCATCGTATTAATTTAGATGTAATGGATTTGTATGTAACCTCTCGACGTCTTAGGTTTCAACCAATCGTTACGAAAATTAGCGTATTACTTTAAATAAGGAAGGACTAAATGTAATCCTCGGTCATGTAGATGAAATCTAGGATAAAAGTCTGTACACAATAAAATACAGTCGAATTATCCAACGGCCGAATTTTTTGTATAATGTCGTTTTGCTTACCTATTTCTAGCTCTAAACAGTACAGATCAGAAACATATATATTTCGGTTTAAAAGAAAGATATGGCAATAAAAGTAAAGCGGTCATCAATATTCCTGGGTACTATTTATAGGATTTTTATATACTTAGAATTTCGTATTTTAATATGTAATTACTCTACAATTATTGTAGCGCTTTAAGAACAATCCGCTATGAACTAATTTATCTGTAAAAACTAAAAGGACTATTTAGTTTATTTTTATGTAATTGAAATGACAAACAAGTTGATGACCTACCTGATGGAAAGTGATAACTGTTGTTGAACACTACGGACATCTTGTTGTCATGTGACACCCGTGTAACCACTCGTGGATTGCCATTCCAAATGACTAAGATATCACGCCTCATATCCTGTAATTTGTTACTATTTTCCAACAGTTGTGCCATCGAGTTTTTGTTTGCCATTACAATTTTTAAAATAAAATCCTGGTTTTAAAAGTCTATACAAGAAAAATAACTTAATAGCGAACTGCTCTAAAAGTGTTATATTAATTGAAGCGTAATTAGGCTGTATAATTACGAAAGTAAAATGTTGGTTTTTGATAAAAGAAGACTTAGTCTAAAGTTTTTCGGCGAGATACCTCGGTTTTTATTAATTGGCTTTATCACGTCTTATAAAATATACCGATTTTCAAAAATTAAATTATGAAGTATACATTATACATCATACAGCACTATTTAGTCTCAAATTAAACAGAACTTATAGTATCTGTACTAGATAATTAATAAACATACTTACTTTGTTTGTAATACATTGTTTTTTACATAAACATAAATTTATATTAATGAATACAAATATTAGCATTGCTCAGGGTTTGAACCCGCCACCATCGAAAAATGATACAGTCCATCATTCCTAGACCACTGAGGTCGCCAAATATTATAAATCAAAAATGGCAATGCAAAATACAT